GAAAAGCCCTTGGCTGGTGTAAGCACTACTCAGAAACAACTCAAACATCGGGGTGTTATCAGCATTCTTCTCATCCTAAATCCAAACCACAGTGCTATGCCAGCTACTAGGAAGAAAATTAGCTCTGTCCCAGCTGAAACCAGGACAACTAGTTAACTGTCTTAACAGCTTTTTTTAACAGTTTTATCAGGGCGTAGCTCCTGTAAGGTAGACAGAAAAAATATGAAATTTGGCAACATTAAGAAACTTCAGTCATAAAAGGAAATGCAGTATGGGTGGGGCTGAGTCCATAAATTTGTGTCCTCTGTTGCAGGACTTATTCAGCTGATCATTATTTACAGGAAGCAAAGAAGTTAAAACATAATGCAGATGCACTGGTAAGTAAATCTCCAATACTTATCCAACGTTTGCACGTAAAACTGGGGCTTGTTTACTGCTTTTGCTATTTTGCTGCCCTTCTGTATGGGAGCTTTCTTGTACTTCCTCTGGTTTTTGTCCTTAAAAATTTTTTCTAATCTCTTCAGTCTGACAGGTTTGAGAAGGCTGTGTACTACCTAGATGCTGTAGTGTCATTCATTGAGTGTGGGAATGCATTGGAGAAAAATGCTCAGGAATCCAAGTCCCCGTTCCCTATGTATTCAGAAACTGTGGAATTAATCAAGTAAGCATTGCAAAGCATATACAGAAGTCAAGTGGGCGGGAAAGAGGTCTGGAAATCGGAGCTGCTAGATTTACTAAAGTTTCGCTGCCAACTTTTGAGATCTCTTATCATTCTCCGATAAAACTGAATCGCTTACCAGTTCATTCCAGTTGCTGAAGCTTAAAGTGTTTTCATGAAGGTTGGGATGCTTTCTGCTAAGGCTCTTGAAGTCTCTCTGCAACGCGTAACGTGAGAAGCAAAGTTATTCCCATTACTACCTAGTCAGCATTTTGTTTAGGGTGTGAGAGAGGTTCCTGAAACGGTGAAGAACATCAGTGTTTTGTGATTGATAAATGATACTGTAATCTTTTTTTTTTGTTGTTTACTTGACGTCTTTGTTTGTAGATACACTATGAAACTGAAGAATTACTTGGCACCGGATGCTACAGCTGCAGATAAAAGGCTAGCAGTGCTTTGGTATGTGTATTCTGAACTTAATACAACATACTGATTAATTTCAAATTTTTTATCTGCATGAAATGCTGTATTACACTGAGTTTTCAGGTGTTTCTGAACCAAATACATGAGTTTTCCACTTGGCTGTACATAAAGATTAGTGCTGTTTATCTGATTATTGTAAACTGGGGCAGAGCAGATGGTGACAATGAGGACGAAGTCTTTGAAATATTAAGGAAATTACTAGATTTGTACAGAGTAAAGCAGAAAGAATGGGGGTCCTTCCTATGTACTCATCCAGTGGTAAGTCCAAATTTGGACTGGCTGTAAAGAATTGTCACTACCCTCCTAGATCAATGAAATGGCTGCAGCAAGTGTAGAGGACCAGAACCTGTTGGTGTCAGGTGGAAAGGAAGGGGAGGCCGTGGCAGAATGCATCGGACTCAGTATGTCCTGACATGAGCGAAAAAGAAATGAAACCCTTGTCTAGGAAGTAATTTGGTATTGTCTTCTAAGATGAGAACTGGAAAGTGATTATATCAGTACAATCACTGCAAATTATAATTTCAGTTTAAGGCACACAGAACTGGGTTTATATCCTTGAGAATTTAAAGTGCTTATAACCCATGAGCCTACAGACCTACAACTTGAGAGTTAGCAGAGAAAGCTTTAAAAACACAGCTACTAGATTTTGAACTTCACTCAGTTGTGATGAACTTGACTTTAACTGTAAATGTTTTGTTATTCTGTCTTTGGTCAGTCTTCGGTGTCAATCTCTACTATACCTAAGGCTTTTCAAACTGAAAAAGGAAAGTGCATTGAAATATTCTAAAACTCTGACTGAACATCTGAAGGTAATTGCATGTGTATTTTCTTAAAATTAAAATTTTCTTAAAATTAAAACCTAATCAAATGTATAGGTCTACATCACTTAAAATTCCTGAATCCATTTTTCAGACTGCTACATGTAAACTTAGAATATACTCTATTTAGAACTGGACCTTGAAAGTATATTAAAGTTGAATAGTTTAAAGCTGGGAAGAGATGGCATGGCTGTCGTAACCCTACTGGTCCTAGCATGATAGCGCTCTATTAGTAATTTCATCTAGCTTTTGTCATTTAATAAATTTAGTAGGCTTCAAGGAGGATTTAAAAATGTTTTTCTTGCTGTGGCTATTAACAAGCTGAAACTTCACTTTCATGTTTAAGTCTAAGGAAATTCAGGATCGAGGGGTGTATTACATGGGCTGCAGCTAATCAGCCTTTGCAAAAGCTGGCACCAGAGTCAAAACCAAGTTGGTCTTTCTGAGTTTTTGTTGTTTGCACTGGGATGTTTGATTCTGCCCTCTCTGTCTCCATCCCCCGTCCCCCCCAGTGAATTTATCTAAATTCCTCTGCAACTGATTTAAAAGTGCTGTCAGGGAAAGGAGACAAGTGACACATCCTTTGAATGAATGTATTTGAATCAAGTGTTGCAGATGAGAAAAACAGTTACGATACTTGTGTAATGTTACTCAGTCCTTAATCTAGACTGAGATTTTCAAAGGAATACTTGGGAGCAGGTAACTAATGCCATTGGGTTTCTCTGAAACTTCCAGCCATTGATACTGGGAGGAAACACGCTTGTCTAAAGTTGAATAGTTTAAAGCTGGGAAGAGATGGCATGGCTGTCGTAACCCTACTGGTCCTAGCATGATAGCGCTCTATTAGTAATTTCATCTAGCTTTTGTCATTTAATAAATTTAGTAGGCTTCAAGGAGGATTTAAAAATGTTTTTCTTGCTGTGGCTATTAACAAGCTGAAACTTCACTTTCATGTTTAAGTCTAAGGAAATTCAGGATCGAGGGGTGTATTACATGGGCTGCAGCTAATCAGCCTTTGCAAAAGCTGGCACCAGAGTCAAAACCAAGTTGGTCTTTCTGAGTTTTTGTTGTTTGCACTGGGATGTTTGATTCTGCCCTCTCTGTCTCCATCCCCCGTCCCCCCCAGTGAATTTATCTAAATTCCTCTGCAACTGATTTAAAAGTGCTGTCAGGGAAAGGAGACAAGTGACACATCCTTTGAATGAATGTATTTGAATCAAGGTGTTGCAGATGAGAAAAACAGTTACGATACTTGTGTAATGTTACTCAGTCCTTAATCTAGACTGAGATTTTCAAAGGAATACTTGGGAGCAGGTAACTAATGCCATTGGGTTTCTCTGAAACTTCCAGCCATTGATACTGGGAGGAAACACGCTTGTCACGTGCCTGACTTGTCGGAGTTTGAGACACCTTTAATTGTTCACTGCTAGTAATAACAGAGTTTTCTTCCTGTTAATGGGCTGAAAAAACAAAATGTTATCATAAGAGGCAATGGGATCTAATGATTAGAGCAAAGGACTACTCCAATCCTATATGTATTTAGTGGCTGCCTTTGTGTTGCTTTATGTTGTGTCTTAGTCATCAGTGAAAAAGGATACTTTCCCAAATTTGAATTTACTTTGGTATTACTCAGGATTTTGGTTATTACTTCAAGGAAAAACTACAATAATTGATTTGGTCAAAAATAGCCAATTAAATAACCAGATGAAGTATAACTAGTTGAAATATAAACATAAATCAGGTGACAAATTTATTTTTCCCCAAACAGAATTCCTATAATAATTCTCAAGCACCGTCACCTGGCATGGGAAGGTAAGTAGTAAAAGCTGTTACTTGTATTTCTCAACTTCTAGCTAATTTTCTACATGAACTGTCTGCCTGGCGTGCTCAAAAAGTAGTTTTTCACTCTGTAAAGTGTTGGGTTGATAGGGGGGTCGATTTTGATTTAGTTGTTTGCATAATTATTCCGCTAAAAGGTTTGGAAGACTGCTACTTGTGATAGTGCTCTGCAGAGAGTTTGTCAGGCAACTCCTTGTTGCAAAAAAATGGGTCAGTGTGTCACTGACACACAAGTCACTTATCTCTTTGAGTTTTGTTGTTTTATTTAATACTTTTCCCTTCAAAACAATAGCTTTATTAATGCTGCAAGCCCAGAGGGCTACAAGTACTTTCAGGGTTGTCTGTGCCATAGTATGGCAATTTACTTCTATTCTTGAAAACCTAACAACGGCCCTTTGGTAGGTTACTCCATGAGTTTCAGGTGGGCATTTCAGATTTGCATCGTGTTATCTGAAAGTGTAATATGGCAGTATAGTTACCACGTAGTTGTAATGTTTTGGTTATTATTCTTTAAGGTTCAATTTATTTAAACAATGAATTTAAGATTTTATTGACTTAGAAGATGATGAGGTCTGGTGATTAGGTTTTGGCTAAAACATAAGGGTTGGAGGGTCCTCAACAGTTGTTACCAGCTCCTGCATCCTGACTTCTTAATGTGTAAAGTGGGAGTGCTTTAGCATCTCACACCCTGAGATGTGGGAAGAGAGGTCTTGGAGAGTATTAATCTTACAGCATGATATGACTGAAGTACATATATTTGCATTTTACAATTTAATATTTTTCTCTGGATAAGCAGCAAGCCTGTCGGTATGCCGTCTCCAGTCTCTCCAAAGCTGTCTCCAGGGAATTCAGGAAATTACTCTTCCGGGGCAGCCAACCCTTCAGGGAGCGGGTCTTCGGTGACGATCCCCCAGAGGATCCATCAGATGGCAGCCAGCTATGTCCAAGTTACATCTAACTTCCTCTATGCCACTGAAATTTGGGACCAAGCCGAACAGCTGTCTAAAGAACAGAAAGGTAAGGGCTGACACAGGTGGATTATAACTTCGGATGTACCAGAGTGTGCTGAAACACTTGTAAGGCTTTGACTTCTGGAGTTGCAGTTAATGATGCATAGGATGCTTAACCAGGTCCTCTGCAAAAGTAAGATGGAAAGTTAGACCTTTGATTACAGTGGTATCCTGGGCTGGTTGTTTTGGTTGTCAAGGTGGTGTTGGAGAGGTAATGATTCCTACCAGCTATGTGCTTAAAAAAAAAAAAAGTCTCAGTTGCATTTCCTGTAAAATGTTATGTGTAGGAAGAGGAACTTGGTACAGTTCCATTTCTGAAATTAAGTGAAATACACATTTGAGGGGGAAGGCTGAGGAAGTTTTACAATAGTTTAACCATACTCTAATTATTCTTATCAACCAGTCTTCTGCAAGAGAGTAAAGAAACCTATTAGAAAGGACCTTTTTCCTTTATTCTTCCATCGTTCAGCCATCTTTCTTTTCTTCTATCTTCATCTAAATAGATGCGTGCTGAAAAGATGAGGAGTTTGGGTGGAATATTTCCCATATAAAAATACGTGCATGACTTAACTTGCGTTTCTGTTGTTTTAGAGTTCTTTGCTGAACTGGATAAAGTTATGGGCCCTCTGATTTTTAATTCGAGCATCATGACAGACCTAGTGCGTTACACCCGTCAGGGATTACACTGGTTGCGCCTGGATGCCAAGTGATACTTTGAACTGAAGGAATGGAAAATCGAACACATTTTTCTCGCTGCCTCTGATTTATCTCCACAACACTGTGTCATGTCAATAAGGAAGACTGCCATAACACATTGCTTAGTTGACACTAAGAGCAAGGAATGCTTTCACATGTCTCCCATCCTCATTTGTGTTTTGTGTTTTAACCCCGAATAATCTGGTTAATGGACTTCTTCAGTATTCCCATTTTAAGTTATTTAAATATTTTAAAATTTGCTACATATAAAGGTGTAGTTTTGCTGATCTATCATGGATAGATCATTGGAATTCCAGTCATTATACATAAATAGTCAGTTTAAATCATATTTATTTTAATTTTTTTTTATTTTAATTTTGAAAAGCCCAGTTTGGGGCAGGTTTCAGCTATTTCTTCCCTAAATTTACCCTTTCGAGTACTTAGCAGAAATTAAACATAGACACTTTATTTAAGTACTTTGTGAGCTTTGTTACTCTGTAATGTCTTGTGGTGGTAGAGCCTGTAAAAGGAACTACATACTTTTCATGCCTAATGCCTATGAGTCAACTAATAAATGACAACTACAGATTTATTATTGCAGAATTTGTACTAAATAGAAAAGTTCCAGATATTCTTCTACGTATTAAGATACTTCATTTAAATGAATTATAAAGAAATTTATATGGAAAAGTATTTAGCTGGATCTGACTTGGATTGTTTTCAAGGCAGTTTCAAAACATTGATTAACACTATAACAATCACAGAACATTACAGTAATTTGCATTTAATGTAATATCAAAGTAATGGTGTAGGAATGAACTTCAATCTGATAGGTGTGATGCATACAGGAGAGGTTTCTGAAATGGACAATCTTGTGCTTTTTTGTATCTCTTCATTTAAAATACATTTTGTTTCCTTGCTTGTCATTTTTTGACACTTACAAAATCAGTGAACATTGTGGTTAAAAAACCAACAACAGTTAAATTCCTACCAGAACTGTCATTTGCATCTTCTCCATTGACTGAGAAACAGGAAACTTAAATAGAAATCTAGGTCCATTTTTTTCCTTTTAGGGTCTGATAGGTAATGGACACTACAGGATGACAGTGCAACAGCCATCGTGGGGTGGGAGCACACCTGCTATTACAGGGAAATTATCTGACTGTTCTGATGCAGAATGGATTTAAAACTTGTATTTACCCCGTGTTAATGAAGGTCCCGCTAATGTTTGATGGAGCATAATACTCACTTGCAAGGGAGCGACTCGGTGCAACAGAAGTGGTTCATGGAGTTGCAGTTGACTGCTCTCAAAAAGTGTAAACCAAAGTACCTTTCCACATAAGGTGCTTGTCTGAGTAAAAGGTTTAAAATGCTACTGCTTTCAGTATTGCTTAGTGCCCCTAACATGTCTGGTGTGCCTTATGCCTTACTTTTAGATGAAGATTTTATGAACTGTTTACAAGATGTTTTACAGCAGGACCAGGTATACTGTATGCAGTGGTCTTCTGCAGTACTTTGGTAAAATTCCATTTCCTTTTTAAAAGTACTAGTGTCTGTCACACAAACTGACTTCTCATTGCGGTGGTCTCCTTTTGAAGAGTCAAACTCTGAATCCTTTGGAGTGAGATTGTGGAATGCTGCTTTGTTTTCTCTCCCATTTAACCCTTTATTCTGTACCAGATATGAACGTGCATGTTCAGGAAAATTATTGCACTAAATTTTTTGTGTAGTTGTAGTAAAGTGCCAAAATCATGGCAACCTCGAGAGAAGGAATAGAATTCTACGCTACTTAGTACTGCAGTATGTCCTATGGGCTTTAAGAGTTTAGAAGTTTTGCAAATTAGTAACCTACTAAAAGGTAGCTGCATATTCGTAGAGCTTCCTTTGCGTTCCAGTGTGTTTTGTACTTCCAGAAGAGCTTTGCTACGTACGGATTAATACATGGTTAACAGACCTGTGACTTTTTCCATGATAGCTGAATTTACTCTTCAGGTCTGTTGGAGCATCTTTTTTATTGAATCACTGTGCAAGGTCACGTTTCTGTTAGTGTTTGCTGTTCGAGACACAACTCTGTACCCTCAAACTCCGCATCTTGGTTAATGGGACACTGTCAACTATTTTTCCTTTAATACTCTAAAGTGCCTAGCACACTTTTGACGCTATATAAAAAAATACCTTCGTAGAAGTTGCATTCATAGTTTATTTTTTGTGTAGTGCTGCACTAGCCAGCATGGCTTTTTTTTGGCTTTCAGGAATTTTTTTTCCTTAACTAGAGTCCCACAAATACCTTTTGGTGTCAACGCTAAATTGGTCTCTTAGAAATGTATCACTTATCCCTAGATCAGTGGATCTTTAAAAAATTGTCTTCAAATGGCCAGAAGACTTTTTACATCGTGTCAAAATGTGGACCTGAACTGGTTGAAAGTGTCCCACCTCAACAGTATACTTTGTAGTAAAATATCCTCTAGAGTGCTGTCCCAGGTCTTCTGTCTACGGAAGATACGCGGTGGTCTTGTTAATTGAAAAGAAATGCCTTACTGCATCTGTGGCTATTTCAAACAGATAAATTCAACCTTCACAATTCCAAAAGCATATCTTAATTTGGGACTTACCATTGTTTCTGAGAGAAAATTTATGTACTTTGTCAGATTTCATAGCTAAAAGAAAAAAGTGCAAGTACGTAATAGGCTTCCATCCCTCTATCAAAGTGCCGGCGAATGGTCTAAACCTGTCCTTTCGTACCTCTACACAACAGCAGTGGAAACGCATGTCACTTCAGTACTAATGCACGTCGCACTAGTAACTAATGATGAGGGAATCCCTAACTCCTGGCTTCCTAAATGATTCCCTAGACAATTGTATATTAAATACATATCAGCGCCGTAATTTTAATTCCCTCACTGAACGCAGTCCCAGTTGGTGAATCTTAAAAATGGCTTAATCAGACTAGGCTTGCTCAGATATCAATACTATTTGAATTTGCTGTCAAACTTGCAGGTTCCTAGGTGATAAGGTGCAACCATTTATAATTATAAACAAATCTTCAGGACACCAGAGTAAAACAGCCCGAGACTTTTATTTTGATTTGAAACTCTTAGCCATAAAGCAGAGCATATGAATGGCTCTTCTTGGCTTTTGATGGCAGTATGCAATTTGTATTGTATGTGTCTTTTAATATATATGTATATATATATGAACTCAGTCTGTCCAAAGTATATGTTATACTTGTTTTTAGATTATGGTGCAACTGACTATATTGATATATTATTTATTGAGTGCTGAATCACCATCTTCTTGGTGATAAATCTTGCATATTATACAGGAGTGCAATGTATATTCCTTTAGATTGCTGAGGCTTGATTGCTGTGATAACAAAAAAAATGCCCTGAAATGTATTTATGAATGGCCCCAACATACAGAGAGTCAGTACTTTATGGAAATAATGTAGCGCTTGCCTGGGGCAAGTAAAATAAAGCCGTAGGCAGATAATTATGTAGTTTGCCAAAATGGCAGACGACTGGAAAGAGAGACTACCTTTGCTGTATTTAATATTTCATTTACCTAACAGATATTTGCCGTCACTGCAGTGTTTATATTAAGGCAGATACAAAAGGGCCTGAGCAAGTCAAGTTTGAATTACCCATTGGGGAGTAAGCAACTTCCAAATTCTTAGATTTCTGACAAATACTTTGGTCAGGGTTTAAACTACTCCATCTGATGAATCAGTATTACAGAAAACCCCGTGTTTCCAAGTTAATGCTAGACATCTTTCAGTCTAAAGAGTAGCCAAAGCTTTTGCTAGCCAACTCAGACAAATCCAGCCCTATTCCAGGAGACAAATTTCCTAAGTAGGAAAGTTACGTAAACTCAAACAATCAGGGAATCACGATTATGTCCAGCTCCATTACTTTTTCGAGGAATTGGTCTCTGCTGCCATGATGCCGTTTGAAAAGAGCAGTATTGGGGCGGGGGAGGCGGAAGGGTCAGCTGGACAGTCGATAAATTCTGCTCTGGGTATGAGCGCGGCGGCGCAGCAGCTCTGCTCCGTGCTAGGTCGGCCTTTCAGGCAGCGTCAGTGCTCTGCTCTCTGCCAGCGCTCAGCTGAGTTTCACTCGAATACACTGTACGGAGCAATTTGACATGCTGTGGTACAGCGTAGCGTTTATGTAGGCTATCTTTATGTAAATGCTTCCCGTTTTAACTTAACCTGGAAACTCAATGGAAGCATATCCATTCCTGTCGTAACTCTCCGCACGTGCTAACGGAGCTGATACAGGCAAATTGGAATGCAGTGTTCCCTGTCTTCGGTTTTTATATGCAACCCTGATAGTTGATGTAGTTGGGTGCACAGTACTTCTGCAGCATTTGGTTTTGGCTGCATTGGCATTATACATCTGAAAACTCAACTCTAAGGACCAGGCATGACTTTTGCAAGCACAGTTCCTGACATTTGTATCTGGTCCCCCTTTTAAATTGTTTTAAGAAATTTTGTATATGGAGGATAAAGTGCTTATATATTTATTAAAAATCCTTTATCTTATTTGAAATTATTATTTGGTGAAGAAGGGTTTTTCTTTTGGGGGAGGGCTGGGGGGGGGAGGTAACTTTTAACTTGTCACTTATAAATGAAGCCCTTATTAATCATACGGAAAGGTACTGTTAGTAACTAATGGGATGTCTCTGTTTTATGCTTTGTACATGACAAGTCCATGTGTTACATTTTGTTTCTATCAAAATATTTAGGCATCTGTCTTCAACCAAAACCTAAAAAAAAAAACAAACTGTGATTTTTATTTGTTGCAATACATTTGAAATTTCAAAGGGTACTTTGGGGCTCAAAATTAGGATTTCTAAGTCAGTATGTGCATTTCACGTAATAAAGCTGTTAATGGTGAGCAAAGTATTATATACTAACTAGATTTTTTCCACATCTGTATAGTATATTCTATGTATTTTGTGGTATTGAGATTATAGAAAGTTTAGTGTCTGAAACATGCGTTTAATGTGTATTTTTAAACAAATTTATGGCAATTAAAATATTTGGAGAAAAGGGTATCACATTTCAATTTGTAAAGATCTTTTTAACTACTGTGTCATTAAAATGCTTTGTACAATGCAAAACTGTAACTGGAGAAACTAAGTTTAATAAATATCAAATAGATTTTCTGTATTAAACTTCAAAACCACTGTGCTGTTATCTGTTACGTGGGCTTTCTCCTCCCTGGTATTGGCATTTTTAAGTGGAGTTTTCTTTTTTGACCCTAGTGCCCTATGTATAACAAAAGGAAAATAGCATTCAGTATTTGTGTCCTAGACATGTTGATATTTGTCTAATCGAAAGCGGCTTTGCTTCTCTCAGCCTTCCAGGTTAATATGCATCTGGTCAAAATTGGATTTTGATCAATTTATTTTAAAATAGTAGATACTACAGTGGCAAAAAGTCAGCCTAGGGCATTGATTTAAGTAAATTTGGTTAGAAGTAATTACAAGTAAATACTTGTCTTTCCAGTTATCGCTGGATATATTTGGGATGGTGAAAATGCTATCAGTATTATCAGTTTGTTTGCTCCCTCTTTCTAACAGGCCTTTATCTGAAGTGCTGATAAGAGTTCAGCTGTCAAGACTGAAATGAGGTGGAAGCATGATCTACTTTGTGCATTTGCCAGGATAAATGTCTAAAGTCCAGTTTGAAATAAGCACTCCTACTTGATACGCCTGATGTGCACTCACCGTATGCTTTGCTCACTAGATACAAGGAAAACCAAGGTGGTTTGCTGAATATAAATTTTTAATTCACAGCTTAAAAAAATATATGAACCATTACAAAAAACCAAAGCGAACACGAGATGCAGAGTCCTTTTATTGAGGTTTGGCCAGAGAGTCATCCTGAAGTGTGTGTTGCAGAGGTACAGCCTCGGTTAGGAAAAGCTCTCAAGCTCTTTGAAGTCCTTTTATCAGTTCATATGACAGAAACGTTAAATACACTTATTGCTCTATTCACTGTCCTAGCTTCTGAACGGTCAATAAATATTTCACAAGTAGAGAGGAGCGCTGTCAGCAGTAACAGCGAGGGGTGTTCTTCAGCATGACGGGTCACTCGGAGGCTGTTCTGAGGAAACAGCGGTTCTTCCTGGAAAACAAACGCCATCGGGCACTGACAGCTCCACCTGCCAGCTGTCTGGGGCTCAGATACACATCCTCTGCTACCTCCTTAGCTACCTCCTGGCTGTTAGATCAGTGCTCGCATTCAGCTCATGTAGCCCTGCACGTTGTATTCGCCTCTTTATTCCGTTCATCTTGATTCATTTTTACGTTTTTTTGCTTTGCGTAACAACTCCAAAATGCATGTTGCCCAGGGCTTACGTGGTCAGGCTGCTGTGTAGAAATTGCATGCAATAGAAATCCCTTTCTTGATATATCTTCCTGTAGCTGCTGTTCAGTTCACCTCTGTTAATCAGTAGAACCAAACGATGCATTTCAAATGCATGCAAAATAGCAGCCTGCCTGCCATGTCCTAATTATATTTACCTGTAGTAGAAAATGGGTATATTCTACCCTGTCTCCGTTTGCTTTCCGGTATGTGTACAGTAGATGCCACACAAAATCAGCTTGCAGTCCCCAAGCAGTAACTGATCAATTGAACTATTTGCAGTTGGACAATTTGCTCGTATCTAGTGTTTATGAGAACTAAATGGCTTTTAATATTTTAGTTGTCTTTTAAACTGTGAGCTTAAGTAAACACCTTCAAGAGATTAATTTAGGGTAAGATCTGCTTTTAAGTAATACATGCTTTAAAGTGAACAATGTTGGCTTTAAGAAGGATTAATTTTAAGGTGTCTAAGTGATTACCTGAAAGCTGTCTGGAATCCTGCGTTCTTTTTTGAAGAGACAGGTTATTTGGGGTTGCAATGAAAGGACCAGGGCTTGTAGTCAAGGGAACTTGGACTCTGCTCTGTTTGCATTGCTTACAAAAGAGGTCTAAATCTATTGCCCCATCCCCGTTCCTGGTATCTTTTTTTTATGCACAGAATTAACTCCATACCTTGTTTGGGTAAGAATAAGAGAAAGCTTCCTTTACATAATCATGTCATATTATTATTTTGTTATTATACTTCATATTTTAAGTGTCGCTGAGCCTGACCATTGATTAGGATTAGTTACCTGCACAGCATTGTAATGCATTCACTGTTATCCCTGCACGAAGCTCCAATGGGTCTCAGTGAGACTCCTCTCCAGAAAGGCGTCATCCGCTTCTGTCTCGTTAGCCACGGCTGCCGGTGGTGCAAGGAAGCAGAGTGTGTCTGAAACAAGAGTTGTAGTGCGACTGTCAGGAACACGCAGCAACTGTCAGCGCTTGGTTGTTCTGATGCTGAGGTCAGTAGTCTTAAGTGAGGAACCTGAAATCTTTTTCATTTTCAGATCCTAGCTTGCTCTGTTAAAGTATAATTGCTCGTATCCTAACCCCGAAGAAGTAAGAAGCATAAAAATTAACCATATTTTTTTTAACCATCTTGGGAGGGAAGGCAGAATTACTTGTGAAGTTATGTCTCAGATGAACCCAGTCTTCACTAGGCAGTTACTCTACTTTTTTATCATGTTGAATCGTCTAGAAGAGCTCTACTGTCACCTCTTAACTCCTGCCAGTTATTCTTATTCATGCAAATCATAACAGTTTTTATTAACTGCCTGGCCATTTGAATGAGCACTTTAAATAGTTATCTCTAGTTACCTGGCTGAGCAGCAGTGAGCAGAGCAAAAAGACTGCCATCATTTTCCAACAGTGCATCTTCACAGTATGAGCTGTCACTTCGACCGTAGGACCTGCCTCAGGGGGAGGAGGTAGGAAGAGCCCCAAATAGAACTTCCCAAGCTTCAGCTAGATTTTTATAGACTTCATTCTCTTATCGTTGCATCAGCTGTCAGTCATTGCAGGAGCAAAGTTCGTTTCGGAGCAAGAGGGAATGACTAAGTTAGCATCTGCTGAAGTGATCTGGTTCAAGGCCTGTCTGTCGAGCTAATGATTTACTCTCCTTCCACTTGTACTTTGTCTGGTCCGCTTAGCTGTTGTGCCAACTGTTCCTTTTTTTAAAACCTACCTAACGTTACCAGAACGCCGTGGTGTATTTGCAAGCAAAAGGGTGGTTGGCCCAAAGTATTATGGTAAAGATCAAAAGCCATAACCCTATTTAACTTCTGTGACATTCACAGCCTGTGCAGTGTTTGTCAGCTGGGGGTAAGTACTGGCTTATCAAGCAGACTCATGGTTTAATTCTGCTTCTCGGTACATGAAAGAATCACAAGGAAGTTACTTAACCTTCCTTTCCACGCGCACAGTACTCAAAAAGCAGATGTAATACTTTTCAGATGGGTTTTGGCATGTAAAAAGCATGTTACGTGTGATAAATAATAGGCCTCTTCTTCCAAGGATCCTAATGTGTAGTTAAAGATAACAATCTCTAGATAGCTGACCTCAAAAGCAGAAGAGACTGCTGCAAGGGTTTTGTGGAGCCAAGATGCTCTGTGTGGTGAGACTCTGGTCTCTTCAGATGAGCCATCTCTGCTATAGTCTGCCTCTGTGCCTTACAGTGTAACTCACGAGTAGCCACCTAAACGGTGCCAACAGCTCCCATAGACGTGGGTGGGCAGTTTGTAATTCAGAGGAATCTTGATTTTTTTTTTTTTTCCCCCTTGTGAAGTAAGAGTGCAACAGCCTAGAGAAAATAATGTTTAAGAAGAGCCATCTGATACCTCTCACCTTCTCTATAATCCTTTCAGTTTACAAATGCTGGGACCAGTGGGAGAAGTGTATGTCTTAAGATTCCCAGTCTGTAAATGGACCTTGCTGGTACTTGCTGCTGCTCCTCATCTGTGAGATCTTGTGCATCTGGCTCCCACATCTGGCCCGTGTACATCGTATCTGTCAGGTACAGGATTTTTGAGATCACAGAGTAACATAAAGCAGATACCAACTTACTCATGTCAAGTACATGTAGGTTTTGGAGCGCACTATGTTTTAAAGTTACTTCCAGTAGGGAGATACTGTGTAAAATAGTGAGCTGTGTTTTAGCTAAATTGTAAATACAAATCTGTGTGTAATAGGCTACATTTTCTGTGATTGCTTAATATGGAGGCATAAGTGCCAGCGTGGAAGGCAAGTTACTTAGATTAAGATAATGCCATGTTGTCAGGTTCCTCTCTACAGATGATTACGCCTTAGCCCAAACTTCACTGGGATTAAATACAACTCTTCCCAGCGTATTGTCTACAACTACTACTGGAAAAATCTGTTCCTTCCAAAAAAAAACTCTTTCCTCTGCCCTATTTGTCTTGCTTCCCTGCTAGGAGGAACCAAAACCCTGCATTGTTTCACCTTCCTGGGTCTTATGAAGGGAAGGAAAGGGGACAGTAAATCATGGAACATCAAATAGCTGAACTCAAAAGCGTCTTTCACATTTGGCTGGCAATTTCTCAGTTGTTTTTCCCATAAAGTCCTTGCTTTACATGCATCCAAGTTGTAATTTCTGCTGTTTCCATTAGGCTCTAGTATAGAACAGAGAAAGGAAAACAAGAGGCGGCAGCAGTAGTCTTGACTTCATCTGAGGAGCACAGGATTTGAAATGACAGCTCTTTCACCTCTGACAGCAGTGCCCTCTCTAAGTTGTCCTTTCTCAGCTTTTTTGGCTAGGTAAGACTAGCACTGTGTGACGATACATCAAAATTGTTGTGTCCTGGGTTACTAATAGCGTCAGCATATACCTTTCAGGCAGTAATCCATTCACTCTGTGCAAGAAACTGAGGAAAAGGACAAATAATTGAACCAGTTGCATACATGGAAACAAGTCCAGCACACCAGTAAAACGCCACAGCAGAGATGCAGCTTTCAACAACAACAAAAAAGCCACAAAGCACTGCTACTTCTAACATTGAGCAAAGGGAGAACAGCAGTGAATCAGATGATGGAGAAATTTTCAAACACCTTGTTCAGATTCTGAAATACCCACCAGCCAAATTGCCCAACGGTTCTGCATCCGGCTCCCTGCCCAGCAGGCGGCCTGGGGGACGGCTTGTGGGGTTGCGACAGGTTGGGGGTGGAGCAAAGGGGGAGGAGGCCCAGCCTGCCCGCTGAGCCGCTGCCGCCGCGCCCCCGTGAGGGTGCTGCGCTGTTTACAGTAGCCTGCCAGCTGGTTCATCAGTTCAGCCATCTGTGAACGGGGGCAGAGACCTCGTCAGAGAGACCGAGACGAGCTGCTCACCTCCAGCAGAGCTGCCGAGAGGAAATGCATTGAAAAGCAAGCATTTACTGAAGCTACCACCGTGAAAGCTCACATATGCCATCGTTTAGGCTGCTCATCAGCTGCTGTGGGTGCGCCTGGAGGCTACATAAGCAGGAGGCAAAGTTTTGAATAAAGCCAGCCTCTAGACATCTTTGCCAACTCTCGCAACCGTACTAGCCAGTTCCTTGCTCCCTGCTTGCTTAAGCTGCCTAGAACATACCAATGAACGGGAACGCAGAGTTAAATTTAAGGACAGAGTATTTTTGGCACAGCTTGCAGCACTGGATGGCTTGTATTGCTCCCATTTATGCCAAACTCAGGCTGCATTTGGAATAAGCACAAGAGCAGTAGGAACAGCCCTAAGACTGAGCTTAATCTCGTGTGCTTTTTAATCATATGTTAAGAGCCCCTAAAGAATAAAGCATTCAGCTATAAACATCACATACATCCCCCCCCACACGCTTCCTGAAGCAAGAGACTGAGCAGCTTCGTCTTCCAGACAACCCAGCCCTGAGCACACTGGGGAACTCTCACAGGGAAATGTCGCTCCAGCCCAGCGGGTAAGATAAACTCAGTACCAGCTATAGGAATAGCACGACAGGGAGATAAATGTGTTGCTTGGCATGGGGTGTGAGACTGAGACAGTCACCTGAAGACTGAAAGGGAAAAAAAAGGATAAAGGAACCAGCCAGATGCTCTGGACTTGGAGCAGTGAAGCTTGTTTATCTACTTAGAGCCTGAGGGTGAATTTCCTTGTCACATACTTAAGTGACTTTACCACTAGCATTTGTTTTTAAATCATCTTCAGGTATTAAACAGTCTTGTTTCTCCTGGTAGTTTCCAAGAATCACAGAATGGCAAGGGTGGGAAGGGACCTCGGGAGATCACCCAGTGCCACCCCCTGCTCAAGCAGGCTCACCCAGAGCAGGGGGCACAGGACAGCGTCCAGGCAGGCTTTGAATATCTCCAGAGAAGGAGACTCCACAGCCCCCCTGGGCAGCCTGGGCCAGGGCTCTGTCACCCTCAAAGTTCTTCCACATACTTAACTGGAACCTCTTCTGCTTCAGTTTGTGCCCATTGCCCCGTGTCCTGTTGTTGGGCGCCACTGAGAAGAGTCTGGCTCTGTCCTTGTGACATCCACCCTTGAGATATTTGTACGCTTTGATAAGATCCCCTCTCAGTCTTCTCTTCTCCAGGCTAAACAAGCCCAGCTCCATCAGCCTTTCCTCATAGGGGAGTTGCTCCAGTCCCTTTATCATCCTAGTTGCTCTCCTCTGGACTCTCTCTAGGAGTTCCTCATCTTTCTTGGACCGGGAAGCCCAGAACTGGACACAGTACTCCAGGTGGGGTCTCACCAGGGCAGAGTAGAGGGGGAGGAGAACCTCCCTCGACCTGCTGGCCACACTCCTCTTAATGCACCCCAGGATGCCATTGGCCTTCTTGGCAACAAGGGCACACTGCAGGCTCATAGTCAGCTTGTCGTCCACCAGGACTGCCAGGTCCCTCTCGGCAGAGCTGCTCTCCAGCAGGTCGGCCCCCGGCCTGTGCTGGTGCATGGGGTTCAACCTCCCCAGGTGCAGCACTCGACACTTGCCCTTCTAATCCAGCTTATTAACACTGATCAGATATCAGAACTGCTGTTAATCATGCAATTAACGTAACTAGGTAATTAGAATCACAGAGTCATGCAACAGCCCAGGTTGGAAGGGACTTCAAACGATTGTCTGGTCTGACCTTCCATAGGAAGGGAACCCAGTATCCAGTGTGCTGTTCAGTTGCACCTTGAAAGCCTCCAGCTGGGGGTTCCCCTGTGTCCCTGGGGAGTGTTGTTCCAGTGATGAATTTTTCTCACTGTAAAAAATTATAAAAAAAAAAACCAAACAGAAAACACTTCTCTCCCAGTGCAGCATGTACCCACTGCCCCTTGTCTTCTGCAGGGGGAGACTCTGTACCGAGGTCAAGGTCCAGGTTCAATCCTGAGCCAACAGCCAGCTCATGCAGTTTTGGTCAATACCACATCAGGTGGCCTATTTATTTTTCACAGATATCAAGGTTAAAGAAAAATGAAGTGGCCAGTGATGGGAAGTTAAAGGGAGCAATGAACCGTTATTTCAAATCATCGCTGGCTGGAGGCAGCCCCCACTACACTAGTTAGACTGAGAAACGTTTCAAAGAAACAGGAGCTAAAAAAAAAAGCTGGAAATGCTCTAATGGAAAAATGTCTGAGCACGCAGAACTTTAGCCTGATTATCTCCCTGTACAGAGCGAACCAGACAGAGATTTGATGCTACTCCCCTTAAACCAAGACACGGATTTCACACAAAGTCACGGGGCAAAGTTTATTAGACAAGACTTATCTCCCTCTTAATGCCCTCCTAGGCATGTGAACATGCTTTAGCAACATGAAGGTGATAATACAGTGAGGTAACAGTCTCCTTTTTGACTTGATCACTGGTCGTTTTCATAGTCAGCGGGGTTCTTCCTCTTCAGTCTCTCAAACTCTTGTGTCCCCCAGGAGTAAAGGAGATAGGCTCCCAGAAAAGCTGGAAAGGAAGGGGGACACTGAAAAGTCGCCCTGTAATAAGCATAGGCGTGGTGCAGCCTAAATCACAAGGCTTCTGCGGTAAGAGACAGGGCTACCGTCACGCAGACTGTCTCCCCCATCCCCAAAACGACGATGCTAAGGGG